AAAAATCGAAAAGAAGGTCAGAGATTATTATTTAATATTTAAAATTAGCAAATCATATTTACACAATATTACTCTAAAATTTCAGTTTTCCAGCTTTTCTGGTTCTCGAGTAAGTAATTTTTCGGCAGATATTTCACACGCCTCACGAGTACCACACATAGCTGGGGGCTGAATTTGAAATATTCATTTGAGCTATACTTGGACAAGGAATATTGCCCCAAAATTTCAGTCTGCCATCTTTTTTGGTTACCGAGTTAGCATTTTCCCAGCCAAAAATTTCACATGCCCGTGTGTGAAAGCCGAATTTGAAAACTTTAACTGCACATGAACAGGGGACATCATCCTAAAATTTCAGCCTTGTGGCTTTTCCAGCTGCCGAGGTAATAATTCTCCCACCAAATTTTTCAAGTATTCGTATGTAAAAATCACGCATACCTGAGGGCTGGATTTGAAATATTTAATTTGTACTTGGACAGGGGAAATCCCCCCAAAATTTCAGCTTTCTAGCTTTCCTGGTTCCCGAGTTAGCAGTTTACCTGGTTCACGAGTCAGCAGCTGAATTTGAAATCTTTGTCCCACAAATTCACGGGGATTATTCCTGCAAAATTTCAGCCCCTTACCTTGGCTGGTTACCAAGACCGCCTTCCCCCAAAAAATTTGCAAATTTCCTTTAGGCGTTCGCACGTGGCACCCAGATGTAGGCGGGCGGTGATATTAAAACGGAGGGTCGTGCATGGTTTGGGAACATACTCCCAAAGTTTTAGCCCTTACCTACCTTTTCTAGCTTTTAGCTTTTCTGGTTCTCGACTTGAAAGTCGGCGACAAAAACTGCGAACACAGAGACACGCACACGCATACATACACACACACACACACACACACACACACACACACAAACAGCCTCTTTCCAATATGCGTTTTTGCAATTTGCATATATGCAAAAACGCATAAAAACGGATATTGTGACGATGTCGGTGTGTATGCGTGTTTGGTGTGCGTCTGTCCGAGTATTTCAACTCGGCAACCAAGCAAGCTTCGGCACCGAAATTTTGCGGTGGGCTCTCCGGTCAAGTGCCACCGCAGGATTGTGGTGTCAACCTTCACGCATGTCTGGGTCCCGTGTGAGAGAGGGTGAAGGTTTTGGGGGAGAATCGCTAACTTGGGAACCGGAAAAGCTGGAAAGCTGAAATTTTGAAGAGATTTTCGCCGACTACGTATCAAGTAGTTGCTCACTTAACTTCTTGAACTTCGAGTACCAGCATGCCACAAATTCTAGCAACTGTGATTCCAAGCGATCTTACTAAAGCACAAAATACTACAACAAAGAATCAATGGCTAGACGCACCAGGTGGGCCCTCCCACCCCGCTCGGGTCCACCTGGTGTGCTTAGCCAATGATTCTTTGCAAAAATGTTCTGTGCAAAAATAAATGAAAAGCAAATATTTACAAATTTTGAGCTAAAAATCTTCATTGATGAATTTTGGATAAATCTGCTGATGAGTTAATTGCTGATTGGATGTGAAATTATTTTGCCTACTTTTTGTTTTCAGCTGGAGCACATTTTGGGGCGAAAACGGATACGCTAGATTTGCGCGAAATAATAACATGTGCGGGATAGCAGTGTTCCCTGTTTTTCCGATAGTACTGTGAGCATCCATCCGCAAATTCTACTCATGCGATTGTGATTTGTAAAAATTAATGAATAAATAGTTCATTCATTTAAACTTGTGTACCGAGTCTTCCAGAAAAATAGATAAAACCTTTGTCCCCTATTGCACTCTCTACCAACTACTGATTATTCACTTCTTCGTTTATTGTTCCAGCTGTTCAAGCGGATTTTCATCAATCCTAGCAAATGACTTCACAAAAATATCAGTCGCTGAAGCGATACTTGAATCACTTTCAGCACTCTGGCTGCTTTGGCTATGAGATATAGTGAGAAGTGGAAGTCTATTACTTTTGTGTGCACTTGCTTAAACATGGCCATGAACTTTTTAAACAAAATACAGTCTCATTCTGGTTGAGGAGTCAAATTACCTACAGATCATGGAAACAGACAGCGAAGTAATGCTACATGTGCCCGCCGGTGCCTCACATAAGAATCAAAAATAATAAAAAAGTCAAAAATATCAGCAACGAGGAGGCACACTTCACATCGCTTGCTAATTTAAAAGCTGAAGGTTTTCTGACTATTGCTATAGATTCTCAAGCGTGTGTAGTGTGCTTGTTTAATTCAGTATTTTGATATGATTGACAAAATAACGCACATCTTTAAAAAAAACCTATTTTAAAATGAAATTCGGAAGATTTTAATTTTACGTTTTCGTCACTTCTGAGTTTTTTCTCAACTTGAAACGAGAATCATAGATCATAATTTTAGAAACGATCCAATACAAACGCAACATGCTAAGTACAATGCTGAGAAGCATATACGCAAATTTCAGCTTCCTAGCTTTTGCGGTTGAAATGCCCATTTATTCAAACAAGTAGTGAGGAGTTCATGCACAAGTACAAACTTACATAAGTACATACGTAAGCACAATCATAACACATATGCTGGCATGATTTCTCCAGAGTACGCTTTTTGTACAAGTTATGTAAGTATGAATGAAAAGACGTCACAATTAATATTTGAGTTGTATTTTCACCGGCCTAGGATACTGCTTATCACCCCAAGCAACTTGCAGACTTTTGAAGTACACCTGCTGCTCTTCGTCGATCCCGAATTTCCGTATGCTCTCGTTGGGTTGTGGGAAACATCGAGAAAGTAGCAACACTCGCCAGGCCGTGGAACGGAATTGTGGTGACAGCCAGAGAAGCAGTGCAGTGAATACAATCGAAACTACTGGAAGCTGAACTTCCTGAAAATAATTCGTAATCATTTGAGGGACCTGTGTCGACTTGTAGTTTCTCTGTAGTTTCTCTGCAGTTGTTGTGTTTAGTAATATCATCATCGGATGCCAGACAATCGAAGCTACGAAATGCAGCTAATCAGAGTATTAAAGTATGTGCAAAAAAAAAAAAACCAGGCTGGAACGCATTGGGTGGGCCGGTTCGATCATGTGTTTTTGCATTGGACTTGAAGTATTCAGGTCATTAACTGCATGAATGATTGTTGCCTTACACCTGTCTTTTGCAGTCACTACCATAAATTGCCATAAATCTTACATAAAGCAAATGTACAACTATCACTTAACGGTCGTTCTTTAAAACTAACCTAGCTGTTCAGTGAGAAATTTTTCCGCCACAGTTTTTAAGTGCCCGTACGTAAGAACCACACATACCTCAAGACTGAATTTGAAATACTTAAGTTATGCTTGAACAGGAAACACCACCGCAAAATTTCAGCCTTCCGGCTTTTTTGGCTACCGAGTTAGCAATTTTCCCGCCGAAACTTTTATGTGTCCTTACGTAAGTACCACGCGCAGTTGGTGGCAGAATTTGAAATCTTTAGCTAACACATGCACAGTGAATACCGCTACAAAGTTCCATCCCCTCATCTTATCTGGTGCTCGAGGTCGCTTTCCCGCCAAAAGATTCGCATATTCTTTTAAAGCGTCCGTACGCGGCACCCAGGCGTTCGTCGGGGATGATACTAAAATCACTGGCGACGTGCACTGAGGGGCCTCGTGTGACCATGCGTTTTTGCAGTCTTTAGTACTGTAATAACTCGAAATTCCGCTAGCTAAAAACCTCTTGTACATACTGGTCCTCGAATTTAAGGAACTTAATTATCCACGCTATAGTTGGACAGGGAACATTCTCTTGAAATCCCAGGTTCCCAGCCTCCTTAGTTCCCTAGTTACCCAAGCTGCAGCCAAAAAATTTCACGGGGCCGTGCCTAGCCAGCACGCATAACGGGGGGCTGAATTTGATAAATTGAAGTTGTAGATGAGTTGGGAGCATTTCCTGAAAACTTCAGCCTCCCAGCTTCGCTGGTTCTAGAGTTATTCATTTTCCTGCCAAAAATTTTCACGGGGCCGTACGTGGCAACTACGCATGGCGGGGGGCTGAATCTTTATAAATTGAAGTTGTAGATGAGTTGGTAACATTTCCTGAAAATTTCAGCTTCCCAGCTTTCCTGGTTCCCGAGCTAGTGATTTTCGCGCCAGAAACCCTCAGTGGGCCGTACGCGGGAACCACGAACCCCCGGGGCTGAATTTGAAATCTTTAAGTTCTATAGGGGCAGGCAACATAACCTCAAAATTTCAGCTTTCTAGCTTCTCTGGTTCTCGAGTTGGCGGTTCTCCCTCCAAAACTTTAACCCCCTCGTGCGCGGGGCCTAGACGTGCTTGAGGGTTGGTACCGCGGTCCCAGGGTGGCACTTGGGTGGGGAAACCACTGGCAAAATTTCGGCGCCAGAGCTTGCTTGGGTGCCGAGTTGAAATATCCTGACAGACGCACACACACACGTACACACACCGGGGTCGTCACAATATGCGTTTTTGCATTTGCGTATTATGCAAAAACGCATAACGAGGGAATCGTGCATGGCATGAGCACATATTTCCAAAGTTTCAGCCTTCTACCTTTTCTGGTTCTCGAGTTTAAGGTAGATGACAAAAAGTGCGAACACACAGACAGACACGGACACACACACATACACATACACACACAAACACACAGACAGACTCTCTTCCCAATATGCGTTTTGGCAATTTGCATGTATGCAAAAACGCATGAAAAACAAACAATGGATGCTTCCCAAGGAGCATATGCAATAACGTGCTGCATTGTGGTACTACTCATAGGAAGCGGAGCATCGGCTTCAATATTCACCCCATAGATTAACGTTACAGGTACCATATACAGTGCAGTGGCGATGTTCGCAACAACCGTTGTGAACATAAGCTTTGTTGTATGAATATTCTCGTTCAGCTGGTACTTCACGCTCAGAAAACACGGCAAATGAGATGGTAAATTTTGCTGAAACATCACCATTTATCAATAATCTGAATTATATGTAATAGGACATATCCTGCTGCGGGCTTACTCTAATTTATTTGACAAAAGCAGCTCAGTACTGCCGAAGTTTTTTGCCAAGTCTCAATGTTTCGAAAGTTATGATGCACAGCCAAAAGTTCCTATGAAGGGTGAGGGTGCTACGAAAACAGGCCGAGTGGCCAACAGCAACCACCTGTGGCAGGGCTGTTGACAGCTCCCTTGTTCAAAGGTTGTTTACAAGTAGGCTGATGGTGCGCTGACTTTCCGAAAAACACCAGTACCAGTTTACCACCAAAATGTATAAATGAATCATAATAGAGGAACTGGTTGATCTACTAGCAGAGCTGAACTCTCGACCTACTGCGCAACACCATTATTTTCCGCTGCTCCACTTCTGTAGGCATGATAGTTCCTAATATGTTCAATTCGAAGCATGACTTAAAACGCGTGGCGCATACGATGTATGTATAACACCCTAATCTCAAAGTCATATTTTTAAAAACTAAAAAAGAAAGGTTTTCTTCCGTAGCAGTACCTTCTTATACTGGTTGAAATGTAGTAGTATAGCAAATGGAACAAGTAGCAGGATGTCTATTGCAAACGCTGCAACAGCAGCTTGCTTGCCGATTTCGTACTTGAATATAACCACTGAACAAACAGGCGACTGTTCTGATGCATTGAGTTTATCGGCCGAGGCAAATATCAGCGGGCATGTTACGCACTGAAGCATATCAAATCTGTACACCGGATTTTAGCTCAGGAATGTAGAACTACAGTGATTCGCCAGAAGCCGGCAAACATTGGAAAAGTGTGTTACGACATTGCACAGGTGTGTAGAAATCAAGCTGATCAAGCAGGCATTCGAAATTAAGCTAGAATCTGGTCAAAATGCGATTAAATTGTCACCTTGACCAAGCGAAATCATTTTGTGTTGGAACTGATGGCTTAATCAGTTTTGGTTTTCTGCAGTTTGGACTGACTCTCGCTCGATTTGAGATTTTAACTCGTTCAAGTGGTATCCCCTACTGCTACCCGGCAAAAACTTGAACTAGCTGCTATTCCTCACTCTGTTTAAGGGGTAACCAGATTTAACATGAGGTAGAGGGGTAATCGTGGTTACGGAGGACCCAGTTGGTGGCAACAGAACTACGAATTACGTAGGTCCCTTTCTCAGGGTTGTTTACATGCTTTGTGTGACCTTGCCATGCCTTGTATTGCACACTGAGCAAAAACAAATCTAGTCTGATTTTGTACTAGCATGTTTGAACACACAGCACCTTCCACAGAACCAATCTTGTCAAATCGAACGAGCTAACATGACATGCGCCAGGAAAATCGTATGTGTACACGCGAGTAAACCTACAATCTCAACAGTGAAATGTGAAACGTAAAGTCCTGTAACAAGACCGACAGAACATGTCACGGTTCGAAAGATCCGAAAATATTAAAATAATAGGTATGATTTTCTTCCGGTTTATAAGATTTCATAACTAGAAAAAGATTTATAAGATTAGGCCGCAGCGCACCAGGCTCTCCTGTAGGATCAGGTGTTTTTGCGCTAAACTTGCAGATCGCTAACAACAGGAGTGGTTCCTGCGCTGCAGTTTTACGCCTGGACTCATATTAGTTGTGTTTTAGCCCCTTCCAGCATGCAAGAAAGAATGATGTTGGCTGGGATGAAGGCGTTGCATTACGGGCCGCACGGACCCCAGTATGCATGGTTATCAGTTTTTTGCATGAAGCCCGATCGTTTTTCCGGTGAATGCTCGTTTATTGAAAATCCACACTGGAACACACAAGGCTAGCAGATGCAATCATGCTTTTTTGCACCAAACTAGCAGATCGCTAATAGCAGAAATGATCCCTGCGCTGTAATCTAACACTTGGACTCGTATTGGCCGTGCTTTGGCGTCTACTTCAGGCTTGCAGAAAAAAGGGCGTCGGTCGGAATAAGGATGTTGCATTATAAGGACACACTGACTTCCAGGTACATGATTGTCAGTATTTTTCATGGAGCCCGGTCGTTTTTCTAGCAAATGCTCGCTCTTCGAAAAAATGCAAATTATCAGTTTACTGAAAAGTGGAAATGTTGCTAGAATGGTCGTTCATCTAAAAATCCAAGTATGTAATTGGGTTCATTTACATGCCGTGAGAGGAAGAGGGTGGTCGCCCGCTGCAAAATGTACTCTTTCCTGAGTTTTCGGTAAAGTTCATAACCATCTGCAAGGAATTTCACCCCAAGCAGAGTTAACACCGTGCATGAAAGAAGAATATCCCGGCGAGTTTTCAGCCTTGCCGACAAGCGAAATATCCACTTCGCTACAAATATCTTTGAAGTACCCTAAATCGTGGCGCAATTACAAATCAGTACTCATTTTAGGTACACCATTTCCCATATGGGCGGCAAACACGCTGGCAAAATTTCAGCCGCTGTTTTCCGGCAAGTTTTCGACTTATCGCAGTACCATGTTGTAAGCTTTGAAGTGACCGTACGCGCTGCACAAGCATGAGCGACAGCTAAATTTGGAATTTTTAGCTAGCACGTTCACAGAGAATATCCATGCAGAATTTCAGCTTTGCAACTTGCCTGGTTAGCGAAGTCGTTTTCCGCCAAGGAAATTTGCATATTTTTTCGGGGGTCCGTACGCGGGGTCTCGACCCATATGAGCGGAAATTTTAAAACGGAAGGATGAAATACGGGGTAGGAACGCATACCAAAATTTCAGCCTCGCAGTTTTCCTGGTTGCTGAGATGAAAATGGGTGAC